TCCCCGGTAGCTGCCGGTGGCCGTGAGGATGGAGGCGGTGTCGGAGGGCGGTCTGGCTCCATAGGGTCTGTCCCGGGGGCCGGCGATGGAGGACAGGGTGCTGGTTTTGGAGAGGGTGTCCGAGGCAGGGCTCCTCCCCCATGACGGTGTTTTGGGGGCCACAGCATCTTCCCTGCCAAGAGGGGAGAGTGTCGGAGAGATTGGCACTGGGAACCCCACTGTTCCCTGCCATTCCCCACCTCGGTGGCCCCTTCCCGAGCAATTGGGCCCCCAAGATTGTGCAGAGCTCCTGAACCCCCAAACAAGGGGACAAAAGGCAAAGGGGGGAAACAGAGGTAGAAAATGCCATCGTTAACTCTGAAACCCAATGACCACAATTGGAAACCTCCTCCCTCCTAGTTAATTCTAAAACCTAATGACAACTGTCCAGAGATCAAAGACTTCCCCCTTGTTAATTCTGAAACCTAGTGATGACTGGCCAGAAACCAAACACTTCCCGCTGTTAACTCTGAAACTTAGCAATGACTGGCCACAGCTGGAAACCTCCTCCTCCCGCATTAACCCTGACACCTAATGCTGACGATCTGAAACTCCCGCACAGGAGGAGAGCCTCACTTGATCTCGTTGGCTCCTTCCTCCTGGCTGTCACGTTTCTTCCTCCTGTAGCCAACAACGCGCTGGGCAAAGAAGATGATGGTGGCGAGGGCACCCAGGGAGCCCAGCACGGCACCAGCGATGACTGCCTTGGTGCTAGCTGCCAGAGAAAGAGAGGTCCCTTACTCCCACAGGGACCCCACAGGGACCTCCAGGGGACCACGTCCCCCTCCCTGACCCTGCGGACACGTACTCACTTGAGTGCACCTCCAGGACAATGCTGCACTCTGCAAACCCTGCTCTGTTTTCAGCTGCACAGATGTAGATCCCCGACATCTCCAGGGAGAGATTGGTCAGCTTGAGTGTGCCCCTAGCCCGGTCTGTGGGCGAAAAACTTGGTACTGCCTCATGGCCACCCCCTCACCCCTCACCTCCTTGTGCAAGGAGTGAGCAGGGTTAAGGGGATGAAACCAAATAAACCCTCACCAGAAGCTTCTAAGGATATTCCAGCCCACCCATCCCACTCTCCTGGTGCCACCTTACCCTGGGCCGGTGGAAAGAAGATCTGCAGGGTGGGGGCCGTGCGCTGCCACTGGTACATGGGTGAGGGCTTCCCCTTCTTGGAGGAGCAGCCCAGGGTCACGTTGGCCCCCACAATGGGGTTGCCGAGCAGCTGGCAGGTGGGGGTGGCCGGCGGCACTGCGGGCACCAACGTTAGTCCCGAGGGGCACCACGGGGAGGTCCAAGGGACCCAAGAAGTGCAGCGGAGCCTTACCCAGGACAGTGAGGTTGATGATGCCAATGTTCCTGCCCATGCTGGTGTTGTCATCTAGCACGTTGACGGTGCACATGTACTGCCCCGAGTCACGCTCCCGAGTGTCATTGATGAACACAGAGATGTTGTGGGTGAGGATGGGGTACAGGAACCCCACGCGGGGCTTCAGCTCCGTCTCCTCCACCTTCACCACCCCGTTCATGGATGTCAGGATCTGCACAGGGGAGAACACCTCCCTGGTCACGTCTGGATGGTGTTGCAGGTGAGGAAATTCCCCCAAATCTTGTGGAGTAGTGGTTGACACACAAACCCCTTCCAGCCTCACCTGCCCTGAACATCCTGAACGTGGGTACCATGAGCATCTTCCCATCATGGGCACCACAAGTGTCCCCTTACTGTGTGCATTTCTCCATTGTGAACACCAAGGGCATCCCCCCACCATGGATCTCTCCCCATCATGGGCACAAGAAGTACCTCCCTGTTGCAGGCTCCCTGGGCATGCCCCCAGTGTGGGCATCTCCCCAACATGGGCACAATGATGACCTCCCCCCCCATTGTGGGCACCTCCTGAACATGAGGACCACAGTTATCCCCCAAACATTTCCCACTGTGGACACCACAGGCACCTCCCTGTATGGGCATTTCCCATTTTGGGTTTCTCCCCATCCATCACAAGCACCTCCCTACTGCAGGCACCATGGGCATGACCTCATTGTAGGCATCGACATATTACCATGAGCACCCCCCATCAAGGGCACCAGCCCATGATGGGCACCATGAGGTTTACCCCATCATGGCCACTGTCTCATCATGGGCACTCTGAGCTTCTCCTCAACATGGACACCACCCATTGTGGGCACCACAAGTAGTTCCTCATTGCAGGCACCATGGGTACATCTCTATCATGGGCATCAACCTGTTGGAGGTACCATGGGCACCTTCCCATCATGGGCACCATGAGCATCTCTTCTACCATGGGCATCTCCCCATGGTGATCACCATGGCACCATGAGCGTGTCCCCATTGCGGGAATCTCTCTGTCATGGACACATCCTCACCATAGATGCCTCCTCATTGTGGGCTGCCATGAGGTTCCCCCATCATCAGGACCTTTCTGTTGTGGGCATCTCCCCATCATGGGCACCATGAGCTTCCCCTCACCATGGTCCTCTCCTTATCAGGGTCATCTCCCCATCATCCGGCACCTTCCCATTGTGGGCATCTCCCCATCATGGGCACCACAAGCATTCCCCCACTGTAGATACCTTCGCATGATGGGCACCATGAGCTTCCCCCCACCATGGTCATCACCCCAACATGGGCACCTTCCCATGGTGGACACCATGCGCATTCCCCTATCATGGTCACCTTCCCATCACGGGCATCACAAGCAGCTTCCTACCATGGCCACTGTGGCCACTACCCCATGGTGGGCACCATAAGCTTCCCCCACCACAAGCACCACCTCATCATGGACACTCCCCCTCCACAGCCACCACCCAGCTTGTCCCACTCTGTCCCTGACTCAGGCCCTCCCCAAGTCTCACCTGGAAGGGGTCAGCATCATCCTTGTCCAGCAGCCAGGTGACGTAGGGCTTATTCTGGGAGGGGCTGGTGTACCAAGCTGGCAGCACCACTTGCTGCCCCTCCACTGAGAACACCGAGCCTGTCCCCACGTGCACCTCCAGCACGGCCGAGGAGACACCTGCCCGGGGCAGAGGGAGGAAACAAGGATGTGACTCAACCCCAGATGCCACTTCTCCACAAAACCTCACTGACTGTGAGAAAGCCTCCCTGTTCCCAACAATCCCAAGTTATCACCAGGAAGTTGGGCCAGGAGAACATTTTGCCTCCTTCCCCACCATGGGAAGGGCTTTCCGGCTGCTCCAGAGGATGCAGGACAATACTGTTCCCTCCCATCCCCATTTCCCCCCTGTGGCCCAGGATGGGAAAATCTCTGGCCCCAGTCCCTGTTCCCAGGGGACAAACACCTCCCGTGGCCACACACCCTCCTTCAGCTCAGCACTGGGGTACCCCCAGGCCCATGATGCTGCCCCAGATCCCACCAGATTTATTTGGAGAGGAGCCCCCATATGCACCTCTAAAGCCTTTCCCAGCAACCCCCTTTTGTCTGCCAGCTAGGATAACTCATGGGTGTGCCCCCCCGATCCCCCATCCCATTCCATCCTAAACATCCTGTCCCAGTCCCCCATCCCTGTGTTCTCTGAAGCCCAGCATCCCCCAAACTCCACTGTGAGGAAGTGTTGGGATAAGAGCAGGTACCATGGACCAGAGAGGGATGCAGCTCCCGGGGGAAGATTATTCCCTGGCTTTGCCCGTAAGGCTCAGCCGGAAAATTAATCGGCTCAGACGAGGCTGAGTTTGTGCCAGGGATGGTTTGTTTTTCCCCAGGGAACATCACCCGGCCCTGCATCCCGGTGGCTCCATCCCTGCATCCCGCCCATCGATCCGTGTCCCTGGCTGGCCCCACTCCGGCCAGAGCCACAGGGATGCTTCGGATTGGGATGCAGGGGGGGAAGGATGATGCTACCCCATCATCCCAAATCCTGTTTTTAGGGGAAAGCCCCCCGGGTTTGAAGGGTTTTGAGCGCCTTCAGTGGCCTCGCACTTTTCCCTAAGAGCTCAGAGGTTCTAATTGGATTTTTCCAGGGTGGGAAGAGGAAAACTAGGTGCTTGGGGGTATTTTTAGCCTCCTCCCGCATCCGTTCATCCCCCTCCTGGCAAGGCATCCGTGCTGTTTCCGGACAGAGCCTTCCAGATCAGGGCAGGAAACTCTGCTCCAGCTGATAAGTCGTCTCAGGAATCAAGGAAAAAAATAAATAAATTTCCTTTCTCTGGTGGAAAACCAGGAGAAATCAGCCTGGGCTGCTGAGGAGACGCAAAAATAGCTCCCCTGGGCTAAGAACATAAACCCTTAAGTCCTGGGGGAGGATTCCAGAGGCGTCTGCCAGTCCCAAATCATGGATACTGCTGTAATCATTAATGATATCCAACTCTGGGATCCAATCCGATAGAAACCATGGAAAAGTGATGGTAATTACAGTGTATTTATATGCAATTATACAGCTAATTGTACCAGATTTAGGGAGTGTGGAAGGAAATGTGAATGGCTGAGCAGCAAATTGGAATTTCCAGGATAAAACAGATCCTTGGGAAGAGACAATTTACAACAAGTGTAACTTTAGGTGTGTTTTTGTAGGACTAAGGATAATCATGGAGATGTGAGAGGGAAAACAGCACTCAGAACAATGAGAGGAATGAGCAAAGGGAGAATAACAATTACAAAGGTGATAATGATAATAGTGATATTAATAGTGATAATTATAGTTATGATCATGATATTAGGAATCATAATCATTATTATAGTAGAGATAATTAGTGATGATAATGATAAGTTATTGCAATAGTTATTAGTGATAATAACAGTTATAATGGTGACAATAACAACTAAACAGTGATAATAATTACACTGATACAATAATAACTATATTAATGACTGTGATCACAGTTCTGTAGCTCATTAATTATGCAGATGCCACAGTTCCTACCCCTCCATGCATTCCCAACAGCTGGGCTAATCCAGGTGTTTCCACCTGACTCCTCCAAGATAGTGACTAAAATTGGGATAATCTGGAGGAAAAGAGAAAACATTAAAAAATTTTGCTGGGATTTCTATTAGAAGAAAGTTAATAGGTAATAAACCTTGTAAAAATGATGAATGTAATTGTATTTTCATAAAAATAATTATAACAGTTCTAATAATGATTGTAATAATCACAATAGTGATTATAATGAGGTAATGGGGATAAAACAGTGATAATAATTGTCATTATGACAATGATGATAGTAATAAAATGTGAATGACAATAGAGTTCATGAATGATGCAACAAATGACTCCACAGCTCTTAAATCCCTGTGCATCCCCAACACCTGTGGAAATCCAGGTTTTCCATCCCAGATCCTCTTTCAGCATCAAGTTTGGGGCACAAGACAGGAGCTGGGGCACAGAGCGCTGAGATTCCTGGGGGAAATGCAGGCTCCAGAGGGGGAAAGGATGCTCTGACACCAGCTAGAGGTTTCCTGTTACACCTCAAGGCATGAGAACATCCTCAAGTGTCTCACCCATGGCAAACCCACCATGCCTGCTGCAGGCCACACTCCCCATGCTCTGCTCGGGGGTGTTGATTCTGAAACCTAATGATGACTATCTTAATAGCACTCTGAGGCTGCAGTTCTGCTCTGTCATCTTTAGACTCCTGTGGCAGAAGATCACGGCTCCATTCTCCCCATTCCAGGATATTGGGCAGAGGTGGAAGGCTGCTCACTCCCAAAAAAATCCCCTTTTCCTAGCAGAATTCATCCCCAATTCCTCATATCAGACAAAAGTGACCCCAAAAAGTGCAGGGAGAGGCTGGAGCCGCAGGCACGGGACCGATCCCTCTGGCACAGCTCCGGCTTTGGCCACCTCAACGCTCCAAATCCTCTAATGCTTTAACCAGATCGAAAAAATTAAGCCTCCCGCGGCGCTCCCACGCGCCTGGGGGGGCCTGCGGCCCTGGCACCCTCCTGCTCCTTGGGCTCAGAATCCTGGATTTTCATCCAGCTGCCCCGAGCTAAGCACCTGCCTGGGTGTTCTCCCTGCGCTCCAGCCCATCTGCTGGGAGGTTTTTTCCATATGGAAAAACAAACTACATTTAAATTTACCTTTTAATATACCTTTCATTTTTTCCCCCTACGCAATAAATACATTTAAATTTAACAGTCTGAATACTTTACGTTTTTTCCCTATGAAAAGAAAAAGGTACTTTCAATTTCCCTTTGAATGTTTTCCCTATGGAAAAAATCACCTTTAAATCCTGATGCAGTGACCACAACCTCAGTGTTAATCCCCACACCGATATCAACCACCTCATCCTTACCCAAAATCACATCATTTCACCCCCAAAAGAGCTGTTTCCTGGCTCATGGCACAGCCTGAGCCCCCCACAAAAGCA